GTGGAATTTTTTTTTTCTAGCTACTCCCTTACAGTCAGCTAGTGCTGCTTTCTAAAAAGCTTGGAAGTCAGGTAACTGAGCTAATTAATATTGCATTGAAATTGTAGTAAAAAGAATTCATGCAAAGACCTGAGGGCCTTTTTGGTGAGTTTGAGTAAAAGGGTTTTATCTTCTTTATAGGAGCTTTTGTAATATCTATATTGTCAGTTTAGACAACTTTTATCACTTAATAAGTAAGATAAGTAAAGTTGCTAAATATTTGAATTATGGATGCTAAAGTAAGTTCTGTCTTCTGTAATGCCAAAATAGAATATACACACATTCATTCTTATTGTGCCTTCTAAAAAATAGTCCTATTTTACTCCATGTATCAACAGCCACAAAGGGTCCCAGAACCACACTTTTGATAACATCTTGATTAATTTTTTCTGCTTTAGATTTCCTTTCTCAGGAGGAAAATACAAAATGTACCTAATACTTTCTAATTATTCTCTTGAACTTAGAAAACACATACTTTAGAAATTTTTAAAATGCAAATTAAAATGAACTATAGTGGATGGCTGCCCTAACAAATTACCACAGACTTAGTGACTTAAAACAACAGCCATCCATTACTCACAGTTCTGTAAGTCAGAAGTCTGAGATGGCGTGGTTGGATTCTCTGCTTAGGATCTCAAACGGCTTAAGTCAAGGTGTTGGCTAGGCTGCACTGTCATTTAGAGCTACGAATCCTCTTCCAAGCCCATTCAGATAAACTCAGTTCCTTGTGATTATAAAATTGAGCTCCTATTTCCTTGCTAGCTGTCCACTGAGGGATACTCTCTGCTCCTAGAGATGACCCCTGCATTCCTTCTTCAGACCAGGTACAAGTCAATCCTGTTGTTGTGGTTATTTGGTGCTGTCAAATCACTTCTTACTCATAGTTACCCCATGTGACAGATTAGAATTGCCCCATAGGGTTTTCTTGGCTATAATGTTTATGGAAATAGATCGCTAGGTCTCTCTCCTGCAGAGACACTGGGTGGGTTTGAACTGCCAACCTTTCAGTTAGCAGCAGAGCGCTTAACTGTTGTGCCACCTATGCTCAAATCCTACTATGCTTCAAATCTTTCTGACTTCCCCTTCTACCACTAGCCAGAAAATGCTCTGTATTTTTAAGGGTTTATATGATCAACTTACCCAGTTAATCCCTTTATATTACGATCAACTGTACCATATAACAGGTCCCTGGATGGAGCAAGTGGTTTGCAATTGACTGATAACCTAAAGGTTGCTGGTTTGAACCTACCCAGTGGCTCTGCAGAGGCCTGCTTCCGTAAAGGTTACAGTCAAGAAAACTCTATGGAACAGTTCTACTCTGTAGCACAGTTCTACTCTGGTTTTTTTGTTTGTTGCCATATAACATAACAATCAAGGGAGTAATATCTAATTATATTCACAGTTTCCAGGAATTAGGTCATGGGATCTTGAGAGGGGGCATTTTAAAGATTCTGCCTACCACATATTTATTAATTGCAATTAACTCTTTTTGTAACTGGAAAAGAGGTGGTAAAAGGCTATTTTTAACAGGGTGGGTCCTAGAAGCAGGCTCTCTTGGTTTTATTATTTGAGAAACACTGAGAAAATTATTTAAGCTTTCTGTGATTTGATTTTTCTTCTGTAAAACTAACATCATAATAATAGCTAACTCATCACATTTTTGTGGAAATTAAATGCATTAATACATGTAAACCTCTTAGAGTTTAAGACCCGTTACTGTCGAGTCAATTCTGAGTCATAGCAACCCCATATGTTAGAGAGTAGAACTGCTTATAGAGTTTTCTTGGCTATAATACGTTAGGATAGTAGATGAGTGCTTAACCGTTGCACCACCAGGGTTCCTTTAAATAAATATCCAAACAACCAAACCCACTGCCATCAAGTCCATTCTGACTCGTATCTAACCCATAAGACAGAGTAGAACTGCCCCATAGAGTTTCCAAGGCTGTAATCTTTATGGAAACAAACTGCCACATCTTTCCTCCACATAAAAGCTGGTAGGTTCAAACCACCAGCCTTTCAGTTAGCAGCTTAGCAATTAACCAACGCAACAGCAGGGCAAAACCAGTTACCATTGGGTCGATTCCGACTCATAGCGACCCTACAAGACAGAGTAGAACTACCCCATAAGATTTCCAAGGAGAGGCCAATGGATTTGAACTTCCAGCCTTTTAGTTTACAACCTCGGCTCTTAATAACTGCGCCACCACGTCTCCAGCACCAGGGCAGTGGGGTATTACGGTTGCAGACAGACTTAAAGTAGCTAATCAACTGATCTTAACATAAGGAGATTATTCAGAGAGATGCAATGATGCTGTCTTTGAAGATGGGTGAATGTACCACAAGCCAAGGAATAGTGTTGGCCTCTAGAAGATGAAAAAATGCAGGGAAACTGATTTCACCTAGACCTTCTGAAAGGAATGCATTCCTGCCAGCACCTCAATTGTAGTGCAGTGAGACCTGTTTCAGACTTCTAATCTCCAGAACTCTAAGACAATAAATTTGTGTTCTTTAAGCTACCAAACTGGTAATAATTCATTACGGCAACAATAGGAGATTAATACAGCATCTATTTTGAAAATAAAAAAGCAGGAACGAGTTATATTTACCATGTAGCAACACTGGGATCAGTAAATAGGTCACATCTGAGGATTGAAGTTCAAGAGAAAACACTGTAAAAGTCAGAAATCCTGTCATATATTGAGATTTAAGACACATCTAGCTTGTTTGGAAAAGGCTTTGAAACCCAAATCAAATCCTCAGTTTCTCTTTTTAAATAACTTCTTTGGTAGCTCGGAAATGGTTAGTTTCACCCGTTGCCAGCTATTTCCTCTGAGGAGGGTAACTGGACCTCAAATTCTCTATCAAGGTTTTGACCAAGGTTTTGGAGATTAAGAGAAGTGAAGTTGTTCAAATACTTCCTTTTCCAATTATATCTAAAAAATATGGGTCTCAACGTAGTGGGTTATTTGCACTCAGGTTAAGCTATTTCTTCTGCCAATCATTTCTCAAGAATTAGCCACTGGAGATAGATCCCTGAACTTAATTCTTAATTTTTAGTGGGCATTTATGAAATACGAATGCTACCAAGCTTTTCGAATGCAAATTACCTTGAAATTATTCAGGAATTTGCTCACTTTGGAATTTTGATTCATACACAGTTAAATAAAACATTCACTATGAAATGTAATAAACACATTTAAACATAAAACAAACACTTTTGCTTAAAATAACATGTAATGGTAATAGATGACTTTTCTAAATAGTAATACTTTTATAATACTTCAAATTTAACTGAATGTGGAAATTAGCTCATATCTTCAATAACATCAGAAAAAAGGATTTACTGCACCTAATTCAGCATCTATATTATCACTACTATGTTACCTTTGAGTAAACGTTGAACATAAGTTATATAATTTTTACTTCAATTATCAAAATGTCTCCTAACAAGATGTTTGTTTAGTTTTCAATGCTGGTTATATTCTAAAGAGTGAATGAGCCCCCTGAGCAATATTTTCCCTACATTTGCAAGCTTCTATTATAGTACAAATAAAATAGATTGTCAGTGCTTAAGTGAAAGCACACAAGAGTACTGATTCCCTTTGCAGGGATGTTTAATCATTGAAGATGAAACGCTGATGAACGTTGAGTCTGAACATTAAGATCAAACACTGAAGCAACTTCAGTGATTGTTAGCATATTTTTATCATATGAACATTTGGGAGCTTGTTGTAGGAAGGCATGTTTTCAATGTGGAATGTGGAATTGAATCCATCAAGACAAAACTCACCAGGAATTTAGCTTATTTCTTTTGTCAATATCCACTTTACAAGTCAGAATTATTGGATTTCTAAAATTCATATATAAAAATATTTCAGGAAAGATGGATATTTTATGTAGAGAATATAATATGTTTGATGAAGGATAGAAGATAATTCTATGCCTCTGAATTCTATTAAGCTATTCTCCAGAGAAGGAACCCTGGTGGCACAGTGGTTAAGCACTCAGCTGCTAACTGAAAGATTGGTGATTCGAACCCACCACCTGCTCTGTGGGAGAAAGATGTGGCTCCGATAAGGATCATAGCCTTGGAAACACTATGGGGCAGTTCTACTGTGTCCTAAAAGATTGCTATTAGTTGGAATTGACTGGACTGCACACAATAACAACCATTCTCCAGAAACATATATATATCATAGTGACCCTATAGGACAGAGTAGAACTGCCCCATAGGGTTTCCAAGGACTGCCTCGTGGATTCAAACTGCTGACCTTTTAGTTAGCAGCCGTAGCTCTTAACCACTATGCCACCAGGGTTTCCATATACACACACACACACACACACACACACACATATGTGTGTGTGTATATGTGGATATATATTGGTGTGTGTGTATATATATATATGTATATAAATGGAGGTTTAAAAAATGCATAGCAGTTATTTGCTTATGTCTTAAATTGACTTTTAAAATCTTCTGGTTAAATCATCAGACAAATTTTAAAGGGAAACATGGTAAATATTTTATTCAATTAACTTCTCTCTAAGAAATTTATACAGATAAAATATATTTCTTTCTTATTTAAAAGGGCTTTTATGTATTTTTTTCCAAACCAGGATTATACTACAATTTTTTAAATGGAAAACAGTGATAAAGTTGTAAAGTCTACTGACAGAACTGTGTCATGCCCAACAATGTGTCTATTCAGTCAGTAGTTTAGCGTGAGACTATTATGTGATTCAAACAAACCTAACATTTGTATCTATTTTGATCATTAGTGTCTGCCAAGAAGGGAAAATAAAATAGTTGAATTACAGCCTTTATTTTTCTGGCACTTTTCTTAAGAAAAATGAATGTGACAAGAGTGTTTTCACATCCGGATTTGGTACACTGCCTTGGGCAGGCTGTATGTTGTATTAGTAGCAATTGGTGACTATTTGATTTTGTGTTTTAGCAGGAGCTACAACCATAGAGAAATATGACCTCAGAACAAATTTGTGGATCCAGGCAGGTATGATGAATGGCAGGAGGCTGCAGTTTGGCGTGGCTGTTATTGATGACAAACTCTTTGTAATTGGAGGTCGAGATGGCTTAAAGACTTTGAACACGGTTGAATGTTATAATCCAAAAACCAAGACTTGGACAGTCTTACCCCCAATGTCAACACATAGACATGGTCTAGGTAAGATCTCTTACTTTATTGATGTTGTTTTTGGAATCATTTTATAGATAATGCAAAATGTATGTTTAAAATATGGTATTATTATCATCAATTCTCATTAAGTTTAGATAAATTATGGAATACCTGAAGTATTTTTTAAAGTTCTTGACATTTTCTTGTGTTGACAAATGTGTGTTGAAGTAATGAAAGTGATGATGAAGATCTCAAAATGAGTAGGACTCAGTCTATCCTCTAAATTATCACAGTCTGGCATTCATACAATAAGTATAAATTAATTAAAAAAAAAAAAGTAGAACCATCATGGAGAGGCTCTTTCGGGGTTTCTCTAGTCTCTGTCACATCAGTAAGTCTGGTCTTTTTTTTTTTTTGTGAGTTAGAATTTTGTTCTACATTTTTCTCCAGGTCTGCCTGGGATCCTCTACTGTGATCCCTGTCAGAACAGTCAGTGGTAGTAGCTGGGTGCCGTCTGGTTGTGCTGGACTTAGCCTGGTGGAGGCCGTAGTACTTGTGGTCCATTAGTCATTTGGACTAATCTTTCCCTTGTGTCTTTGGTTTTCTTCATTCTCCCTTGCTTCAGACGGGGTGAGAGCAGTGGAGTATTTCAGATGCTGTTCACAAGCTTTTAAAATCCCATATGTTACTCACCAAAGTAAAATGTAGAACATTTATTTGTAAACTATGTTGTACCAATTAAGCTAGATGTTCCCTGAAACCATGGTCCACATAGCCCTCAGCAAAGACATCATTTCTTTTTTGGTCTTCCTTATTCCTTGTCCAGCTTTCACATGCATATGAGGTGACTGAAAACACCAGGGCTTTGCTCAGGTGCACTTTAGTCCTTAAAGTGACATTTTTGCTTTTTAACACTTTAAAGAAGTCTTTTGCAGCAGATTTGCCCAGTGCAATGCGTCCTTTGATTTCTTAACTTCTCTTTCCATGGGCATTGATTGTGGATCCAAGTAAAATGAAATCCTTGACAACTTCAGTCTTTTCTCCATTTATCATAATGTTGCTTATTGGTCCAGTTGTGAGGATTTTGTTCTCTATATGTTGAGGTGTAATCCATACTGTAGGCTGTAGTCTTTGATCTTCATCAATAAGTGGTTCAAGTCTTCTTCATTTTCAGCAAGCAAGGTTGTGTCTTCGGCATATCGCAGGTTGTTAATGAGTCTTACTCCAATCCTGATGCTGAGTTCTTCTTCATATAGTCCAGCTTCTCGGATTATTTGTTCAGCATTCAGATGGAATAACTATGTGTTGAAAGGATATAACCCTGACACACATCTTTCCTGACTTTAAACCACACAGTAAAATTACTGGATAGGCAACCCTATTTAAAGTATTGCACTTAATTAACTCCACTTTGAAAAATCCAGGAGAAAAAGTAACACATCAGCTGACACTCTAGGTCAATATGGTATGATTGTAATTGATCCCTCCTGTAGAGTAACCCTGAAGGGTTACTATGAGTTGGAATCCACTCAACGGTAACAGGTTTGGTTTTTGTTTTGGATAGAGTAACCAATAGAAGTGGGAGAACTGTATTTGGATTCAAAGGATGTGCTCGATCTACCACTTTCTATTTGGATCACTTTGGGCCAGCACTTAAATGCTAAGTCTCAGTATCCTGATTTGCAACAAATAGATTTTTAAAAATCAAATAATAATAATATATATAAAATCACTTGGAAATTGCAAAGCACTATACAAATTTTTGTAAAAAGAGGAATTTAATAAGGAATTACAGTTCCTTTTTGTATCATGAAGAATGTAATGTAAAATGCAAATTACTTTTCGAAGACCTTCTATACCACATGGGGCCCTGGTGCCGCAGTGGTTAACCGTTTCGCTGTTAACCAAAAGGTCAGCAGTTCAAACCCAACAGCCACTCCTTGGAAACCCTATGGGGCAACTCTACTCTGTCCTATAGGGTCACTATGAGTTGGAATGGATTTGACTGCAACAAGTTTTTGTTTTTGTTTACTTTACCACATAGTAAGTGCTTTTTCATATATTTAGAATATACACATTAAGGGGATATCATGGTTTAATTGTTTATTTTTATTGCAAACCTACATATTTAGACAGGCAAAATTATAAAACATTTCAACAACAAATATTAATGATTAACAACAAATATTAATTAAAGTTTGGTGTCATTAATATTGTTATTCACTTATATTCCACCAAGAAACTAAGCAAAAATAAATAAATAAATAAAAATAACTCTGACCTAAAGAAAACTACCTTTTTGATCTTTTCTAGGCTAAATTACCTCCTATTTCTTGAGTTTCCTGATTAGTAATGCCATTTTAAATAGTGAAGGATTGTCTTTACTATCCTGCTGAGAGTGACATCATCATGACCTGGTGACGAAGAGTCCTGATGATTTCAATGCTCAGCAGGATAGTAAAGGTGATTCCTGAATAGTCTCTTGGATATTCTCTTTCAGTTTAGTTCAGATAACCAGTTTTAATTTTGAGGGGCTTGACAAGAACAAATCAATAGAAAACTTAATATTTTAAATGATCTTATGAAATTACCTCTTCTCTTTTGTACCACAATCATTTTTCTTTTCTCGATTTTACATTTTTCTTATAAAAATTGTCTTTTTTCCTTACAATTTCTCACAAAACCCTTCCAACCCTTCATAACTAAGGAATAAATATAACATTAAGACAAGATTTTTTGTCCCAGCTAAGAATGATATTTTATTTTGCATAATGCTTTACTTTACAATTTTTTTCACAATGCCTTAGCCTGGTTATTATTATTATTCAACCATATAAAATGTTGCAATTTAATATAATTTTAATGGTAGGAATTGATATGCTTTTGCCATAGCCACACTAAGAAGAGATTGGGTTTTCTTATCCACATTTTTAAGATGTGGGAACTTGAATTCTTGCTGAGAAGCTAGATTTTATAAGTCCTTATTATTTAAAAAAAAGAAAGACTTTATTTTTAATAATCAAGTGTTCAAATTGCTATTATAAATTAGAGATAAAATCATAAGAACATCTCATCTTAGTTTATGTAGATATTCTTATAAATCACTTGATATTTTCAAAAGAACTAAATGTAAAAACCTGGTGGTGTTCATACATTCCCTATTTTAATTTTACTTCTACATAATTGGGGACAGGAATACAGTCCAACATTGACAACTTATAATAAATGATTAATTTTATCTTTATAATATTAAGACATAAATGTAAGAAGCTGAATATTTTGCTAATTTTAATAATGCATGGGCAGATTTTAATTGGACTAGGGACTAGAGAATAAACTTTTTTTAAAAAAATTAATTATAGTTCTTTACTGATTCACAAGACTTGTAAAGGATGTCTTATGACTTTTCCTAATTTTTATTCATTAACTCTTATGAATGTTATATGAGGTACACATGTAATCCTAACAGATAATATTAGATAGTAGAGTTTCATTAGTGTAATGACAAAGATACCAAATAAAAGTGAATTAAGCAAATGTAAGTTTATTTCTGTCTTAAAATTAAGATGATATAGAGACTATAAAGGGCCTCAGATAGTTTAGGTTTATTGGGGTACACTCAGTAAGTTCAAGCATACAGATGTCTCTGATTTGCGATAAAGAGTTTTTAAGCCAAATATAAGGTTGGATTTAAGGTGTCAATATGGAATAAGCCTGAAGGTAAATCTTTTCAGCTATGCCATGTATGATTTATTGAAAAGTTATATTGAATCCCCTTCATCATAAAACTATTTTTGCTTTGCACAAAGCTATTGCTACTTCATTCCTATTGATTCATTATCTTGTCTATTAATACCTATGGAATAAGAAAATATTCCCCATTTTTTTGAATGCCTAAGCATTTCTTGGAAGTGAATTAGGCAATTATGAGTGCATTCTCACATCTGCAGAACATTACATAAACAAGTTGGAAATGAAATAAAATAAAATAAATATGTCAATTAGCCAATTAGTCCACACAGTGTTAAAAAATGACCAATTTATTTTACCAAAATAATTGCATTGCATATTTTTGTACCCATAATCTTTTAACCACTAATATTATATTGTTTTTATAGTATGCTAACTAGACCTCAGCAAGCATACATTAAATGTTATCATAACATTATCAATCAAGAATAATTAATAAGTGAGTGATATTGGAAAGATATAATGATGTACCCTAGATAGGAAATCCAAATTGGGGCTACTTCCTTCGGTTCTGATACTACTTCTCTTCATGACATTAGGCAATTATTTGTTGAACATTTGCTATTTTCTTAAAGTAAGTCTTCATTTCCTCATCTCTAAAGTTAATGGTACACTTTCTGTATAAGCTGATAAAATTAAATAAATCAATTATTTGAAAATACTTTTTAATTTTAAAGCATTATTTTAAAAGTCCAAGAATTTCATTGTGAGATAAAATTGTAAACTATATAAACTTCAAATTTGTTAATGTATAGCCTACTTTTGAGAAGGTTTTGAAGCATAATATACATTGTTAATTCCATAATTTATAAATGCTCTTACTGAATTTTTCATTCTAAATTTATTACCTTTACTGGTCATTCAGTTTTACAGTAAGAGTATTATAAATTTTCTGATGACATATGTTATTACTAAAAATTTCCTCTTAAATGTTCTTGATTTTATTTTATTTAGCCTTTTATTTTAATGGAAAGGTTATTTTTTTTTCTCCTATGCATATAATACTAGTGGAAAATTACTGTGAAATATTATACCCCAAAACTCTCAAATTAAAACAGGTTCAGTGAAGTTTATAATTTCATTGAATGCTTTCCATCATTACTATAATATAAATAAATGATTTTAAATATCATCTAGAAAAATATACATTTGAGATCACCTAAGAAATGTTGATAAAGGGTAAGAGAAAATTTATTCTATTAATCGTTTCAAAATTCTATTAGCATTTTTTATTGAGAAGTACAATCAACCACAAATTAGTATAGTAAGATTTCATATCTCATTGCATATTCCTACAA